TGACCGAGTACCAGAGCGGGGACTCGGCGATGCAGGACCGCTCGGGCTGCAGGTAGAAGACGTCGTTGCGGTTCCGCAGACTCTCAGGACTGTGAAGAGAAAGATGAGCCCTGGGCTATCAGCTCATGGGGCTCAGAAAGCCTGCCCCGCCCTCATAGTTATGATGGGCTCAAGGCTTGCCACAGCCTCTCATCCTTAAGCAGGATGCGGACAGAAACTGAGTGTGCAGCTCACTGCTCAGGACCAAACCCATTAACCAACCCAGATTGCACACTCCTGTCTGTCTGGAGAGAAGCAAGACTTGGAAGGGGCCAGAAAAAATAGCATTCTCTCAACTGTCATCTATCCCAGCCGCAGACCCTGGGCAAAGCCTCACATTTAAGTACAAACATTTGGTGAGCAGTAGCCGCTCCACAGGGCCACCCTAAAACTGAGAGGTGGCCCCAGAATGGCACATCCCCCTTCCCCAGAGAAGGCCTCACCATTTGGAGAGATAAAACTCATAGAACTTGACTGGACATCGGAGTGGATTCATCCTGTTCTCCCTCTGCTCCAGCATTGGTATCTCTTCCTCACGCTTCCGCTTTCCAGAGCTCCCATCTACAGAGGGAGAGAGCAGGATCACAGCTAGGATCCCATGGGGAAGGCAGAGGGAAGGACAGAGAGGTGCTCTGTCAGACCCTACCTCGGCCTTTCTTCTGCTTGGCAGAAGTGTAGTAGCGGATGCTCACGACCTTTGTGACGCCGCGGGCCGTGGTGCACTTGCGGGACTGGCGCACCACGTTGGTGAAGGAGAGCTGCATGTGCTCCTCCGCTGTCTGCAGCCCAAAGAACTTGGTGTTGAAGAACATGAGGGTGTTGAGGAGCACAAAAGGTGAGTAAACACCCAGCTGCTTGCACTCCCAGAGGTGCTCTTCCTCAACACGTGAGAAAACTGTGTCTGCAACGCACAGAGGAAGAAGCAGGTCACAACAGCAGTGGCCTTGTGTCAATCCCTTCACCCCGCCCAGGCAAGATCACTGCACTGACATTTCAGAACACCCCCTTTCCCACAAAGTTACTTCTCCACAGCCATCAGCAGAGCTAGATGCTGGCTCTCACCATCCACCCCAGACCACAAGACAAACCACAGGCAAGAACCCAAATCGGTCCTAATCACTCATCCCTATAGATGGCCACAAAGTGAACTCTAGTCAGTGCTCTACCACATTCAGTATGAGATGAAGGAAAAGAAGCAGACAGGAACAGACATGGCCACCTTCTGCCTAGACACACAGGTCTGGAGCCAAATGCCTCTGCCTGGGACAGCAAATATACAGAGGTGAGGCTGGATCTGTGAACAAATCACTGACAAGACACAGGAGGGAAGGCATCCCAGATCACAGCATCATGAAAAGCCTCTGCAGAGCTCCAAGTTAGTCTGCTCACAAGGGAGCAGCACAGCAACCCTGGGCAACGCTTTGCATAGTGTGCAGGACTCACCCATGTGCTAGGAAAAAAGAGGCAGGCTAGCATGCCTCTTAGCTTGGTATCCTCTTGCCAAAGGATGGAGACATAACTGTAAAGTGTTGTAAAGATTCAGACTGTTCCAGCACACAAAGCAGCTCGGCTTCCAGCTACCTTAACTCTGGATAAGAGAAGCTGCTGAGGCATAAACCAGGCTGGCTCCACTGTCAGTATGGGTCAGTATGACCTCAAGACAAAGCAGGACTGTGCTGCCTGTGTCGAGGAAGAGGGTTGAGGCTGTGGGAGCACAATCAGACTAGAGGATCCAAGGCTAAAAGCACAAACTGGGTACATGTGGTGACTGAAAGAACTCTGGTGACACATACTATTTGGTAGGATGGTGGGTTGCCAGCCGCTCAGGGACTTGTTCAACTCCTGCACAAAGGTCAGGTAGTAAAGGTCTGTAAATATATTCACCATACGATTGTTCTCGAGCAGGTACTAGAAAGGAGAGAACACACGGTCAAGAAAGACATAGCAGCATACAGAATGCAAACAAGCCTCAGAGAGCACAGGGCACACATGCAGAGCACTCCTCCTTGTACAACCAGATCCACGGGGCAGATTCCTGAAACCAGCCACTTCTGAAAGCTGAGAGGAAAACCCTCGGGCATGACAAAGCAGAGCTGGTGCTGAAAAAGGGACTGAGTATGAGGACATCTCCTAGCCCTCCTCAAGAAAGTGCAAGAAGGGTACAAGGCTGGGGAGTAGCTGCCACACTACCCACTGGGCTTGGGAACAAAATCCAGACTAGGTGGGCTACTGTCCTGGAGTGAGGCACTGAAGAAGAATCCAGTGAGCTTCTCTGGGATCCCAGAAAGCGGAACAAAGTGTACAAGCACCCCTTATCAGATCTGACCCTCAGGTCTGGCTGTGGAAGACTTAAAGGCAGCAAGCCCTCCCTCACCTGCTGGATGCCAAGGCAGAGGTAATAGATGCTGTCTGGTTCATAGCGCTCCCCATTGGGCCGTGTTATCTCCTTGACAAACTGGGCCAGGCCATAGTTGAGTTCAGCTGCTGTGCAGGCCAAGATGTCTTCCTTGATCCTCATGGGCTTGGCTGTGGAAACAAGCACAGCAGCCTCAAACAATAGCCTGCAAGGCCAGGAGCACCTCAACACCCAGCTTCTGAGAGGTTTCTGACACTCCACCCCATCCAGACAGGGCACTTACGGCCGAAGCGTAGCTCCTCTCCTTTGCTGGTCTCTCCTCCTGCATACTTGGCTTGCACCCAGGACTTCCAGGCATTCACACCGTAGGAGTAGTTCAGCACTGTGCAGCTGGGCTGGCTGCTCATTGAGTCCCGGGAACAGCTTTCAGAGAGCACCAGCCGCTTCTGCCCCTGCAGAGAGGTGTACTGTGTGTGGGGACAGACCCAAGAGCTCGGGGCACCCCTCAGACCTGCTGACTGCAAACTCCCTCCCCATGTGCCCATGCCAGCAGGCATCCTTCCAGTGATGACCAAGCCAACATGGCCTATTAGTTACGAGGACCACAGGCATGAAAGAGGCCAGCTCTCACACGACCTGTAGCATTCAAAGCTCCTCTGAAGTGACAGGGAAGTATTTTCATTCAAGGAGCTGTCCAGAGGCCAGGGATGTCCTGAAGGGAGAGTGCACAACCTCCCAAGCACATCAAAGCCTCTGGCACACTGCAGACGTCCCAGGAAGCAGCTCCCACTGCAAACCCAAAGAGCTTTAAGCAGGCAGTACCCACAGAGAGCTCACCTTCCGGACAGCACGAGGCAGATCTTGCTCTGTGGACACATCATCTGCTCCCACCAGCCCACAGTCGAAGAGGAAGTCCACACTGGGGTTGATGTCTAGAGGGTCTGAAAGGAAACAGAGGCAGAAAGGCTCAGATGAGACTTCTCATATTGTCCCTGTGTTGGCCTGGTTTTTACAGCAAGGTGATGAGGGAACATGCAATTCAACACTTCACACCCACTCCCACTGCCTGGCATGAATTTTAGCCACAGTCCAACAAAGGAAATGCAGGTCTTGCAGATGATGCTAAGCTTTCTCAAGACTAATTAGAGCCCCACATTCTTCCCTCTGACTTCTTCGTTATTTTTTTTAAACATTCCTCACCCCAGGCCAGTGCTGGGGACAGCCTGGCACAGGCACCCCAATTCTCTGTCCTTTGCTGTTAGCATCCTGCCTCAACACTTCTATGCTTCTGCAAGTCCCTGTCTCTTTTTCCACCTTCTGCTCGCTACTGGGCACTCAGCAATTCTGCCGTTTCCCAGGATGTTGTGCCCCGTCTAGGTCTCTTTCTTGCCTTGCTGTATCCTCTGGAGCACACCAGCACCACTGCCCTGCTTTCCTTGCTGTCAAAATCAGCTTCTCACTCCCTCTGCTCTGCAGACCTGTGCTCACAACAGGTCAGTTAGCCTAGTCAAACACATGCTCCTTCAAAAGTGGTGGTCTCCTCACCACTGCTGCGACACATCATTTGCAAGACTCTCAAGTTCCTGACCTCAAGTCTGGTCAGCCAGAGGGCATGGGGAGGTAAGTTCATACAGCTCTTAATGCTGCTGGCAATGGATAACCAAGAACAGTAGAGGACCCTGCTGCAGCATGAGCAGCCCTGCATGCCTGCTTCATCCAGCTCTTACTCTTAGGGAAGTCAGCCTCCAGGTCCTGGCCTGGCTCATCGAGGACATTTGCCATCTTGACAGCCATAGCCAACACATCATCCCGTGCTGGTCCAAAAAGATCACAGTCCTCCAGGAGACCCTCGGCACTCTGGTTACTCACCAGGTCTGCAATGCAAAAGCAGATCATAAACCCAACTTTGAAGAAAGTCTTTTGTCCATTTTCCCTGTGACACCTAGAAAATGAAGTCAGGCTCCCTGAAGCACATTCCTGTGCTTACAGCAGCCCCACAATAGCCATGCTGCCCAGCCTCCCCTGGATAGTAAGACATTAGACATTTGTCCTTTCCTTAGCCACAGCCCTGGTCACTGAGGCTTGAGGAATGCAGCCTCCAAGTAGACAGACCTGCAAAGTCAGGACTGCCAGTCTTCTGGCTGGGAAGCTGCTTTAGGTAACAGTCTGAACAACCATCTGAATAAACAAACAGCGCTGCATGTATGCCACAAGTCCGGCACCCCCAAAAGGGACAGTGTTAGACACTGTTCCCTGCTGCAGCTCTTCTCTCCTGGTATCTCTTCAGCAAGAGTTGAGGTCTTGCTCTTCCCTGCACCCTTTTTAAAGGCTTTGGGAGACCTGTGATCCAGACACTAGCTCTAGCTCGAAGCGCTGGCAAACCCCACAAAATCCCAGCTGTTGGGCCAGACCAAGCCATGACAGAACCTACCACACAGGTCTGAGGAGGCCTTGTCTAGTTCCTCAGCCTCTGCAATCATCTCGGCCATGGCCAGGATGTCAGCCTCCAGGGGATTGGAAGGGATCTTCACCTTCAGCTCCTCAATGGTTTCCACAATCTTATCTGTGCTCTCCAGCGTGGTGGGCAGGAACATTGGCACAGGCACCTGGTGACAGAAGCAAGCAGAAAACTAACAGTCAGGTGACTGATAAAAAAGCCAAGGCAGAAGAGGACGAACAGAGAAGCACGGAGGCTGCAGCAAGGCAGGATCAAGACAGCAAGAGAACGTGAGCAGGGGTGTGTATCACTTACCGGGACAGGCATGGAGAAAGGCACAGGTACTTTCTGGCAGTACATATGCATAGGCACAGGTACGAAGATTGGGACGGGGATTGGCAACACAATCACCTGGGGCTTCCAATCAGCCTCTGACAAGAGCAAAAGTACATCAGTGAGCTTGCTCCCAGCAGCTTCTTCACCCAGCCCTGCTGTGCACTGCCATGCCTCCAGCTATCCAGCACCACAGCCATTCCAGCCACCAGCTTCTGTGACTCATGAGCAGAGCTGGAGCAGCAACAAGCCAAATATCCCTGCAATATGAGAGGCTTGCCTTAACCAGAGGTGCAAACCCTGCTCTTACACGGCCCTGCTGAAGTCTAGTTGCCTTGCGTATGCTGGAGACCACACACACATGCCCAACAGGAGCTACACAGTTGGAACCTGCTCATCAGACAGCCCCTCAGACAAGCTGGTGATCTGCAGAGGAACAGGAATTGTCTGACAAGAGGTGGGATCATGCTGTAGTGCTCTTTGCATCTCTCCTTTTGCTGCTGATGGAAATGGGCTCCACACCTCCAGCCCTGCTGTGTGTGCCCTGCACCGCCCTGTGACTCTGCAGCAGTGTCAAACACCCAGCTGCTCCATACAGCATTTCAAGCTGGATTTTACATTTAGCCTGGAGCAGAAATGTGCCATTTGCCTTTCCAAAATGCTCCTGTAATCCTGCAGTTATGTCTTGTTTTCCTACCTGTCTGACATCCTTTGGACTTCATTTCTATCTTGCAGGAAACACCCCGGTTCTGCATCAGTGGTTTACACATGGCAGCTTTGTTTTTCCGAGGGGTGGCTGGAACTGGAGGTGGAGGGGGTGCAGATGCAGACATCCGGGCTGAGGTCTTTGCTGACAGCTGAGGAAATGCAGAAAGCAGGAGGTTGGTGTCCACCTAAGGCAGCACCACCTCTTCTCAACCACAGGTACAGCTGGAGAGAATCCCAGAGCACCTCCTGGAGCGTGGCAGTTCCTAGCACACACTAACACACAGACACACATACAGACACTCTCACAGTCAGACCTGGTCAAAGGAATGCCAAGCTGCTCCCAGCAGCCAGCAAGCCTGTGCAGCATCCCTGCAACAGCCAACATAGAATCTGGCACTGTCCACTCCTGGCCCACAGGTCAGCCAGGAACACAGTGGGACATCAACTATATCCAGACACAGGAGAGCACCATGCAAAGAGGAGCCAGTGCCACAGTGGCAGGTTATTCCAGAGCCTATCATTGGTTCCTGTGGAATGGTTACTCTTCCCTCTTGCAGGAGACATGCTGATGCTGCCTTCCCCAGCAGCTCTTATCAGCTCCCACTACCCAGACATCTTAAAATACATTGGTTGTAGAATGAAATCTCCTTGAGCAACAACAGATCTATCTTCTCTTTGGGGACAGCCCCTTTGTGCTATCTTGTGAACTCCTACCTTGAAAGGGCCTTACCATGTTAGTCTCTGCCTTCTGTGAGGAAGGGGCAGGTGGTTTTGGCTCTGAAGTCTGACCTGTAAAAGAAAGCAATGACTCTTAGGTTCAAGAGCTCCTGGGCTAACAGGTCCCTGCTGGGACTGGAGGTGGCAGCATCCAGAGGACAGGGACAAGATCCCCAGAAACTGTTCTTGTCCACTCCAGGGAACAGTTAATGTTTGCAACATCTGTAGCCCTAGAAGCTCAAAAGGCACTACAACTCTAAAATCAAGTAATTCCCATGTAATTTTGTGCTCCCTTGCAGGCCCTTGTAGACAGAGAAATTTAGGGCTCTATACCCAGCTCTGCCTAATGGCTTGCTGTACCGAGCCACAGCCCTTCCCTGTGCTTCCACCTCCTTGGTACAAAGAGCTTGACAAAGTGCTTCGAGATCCCTAGGAAGAAGGTGACAGAGCTAGCAGTAGCATTGCAAGACCCCAGAAAACAGGGAAGACAGCTTTGACCAAGCCCTAGGATGACATCCATTCCCCTAAAAAAAAAAAAAACCAATAAAATTGGGATCACCTGCAGGTAAGAGGCAAGTGTGGCAGAAACTGGTCTCCAGTAGTAACAATGTAATTCTGGCTTAGATGACAATTCCAGCTCATTTGCTCTGCAGAGAACCTTCACCCAGCTCAAAGGGTGATAAGCTATAAGAGTACCTTCATTCAAGTCTTCCATGAGCCCTGGATTTCTGTGTGGCTGGGAAAAAACTGCTTTCTACAGCACTAACTAACTGTGGGCCATGCATGAACATGACACCTGCAGGGAAAACAGCAGGTCTCAGCACCCAAAGGGAGTGGTGGGTCCATTCACACCTCCTACATAAAGACAGGCTCTCCAGGAAAGACCCAGACTCCCAAAGGTGCAATCTGCACCATGCAGATTTCCTCTGTTCCAAGGAAATGCAGGACAGCTCTTCAGTAATTGGAGGCCCAGCAGGATCCACTTGGTGATCACCACAGGGGGATGCGGAATTGCAGTTGGTGGAAACTCCCTAGCCCACAGCTGCTGAGCATTCAGTCTCAATGGGTCCAAGAACTCCCCTTGACCACCACAAAGTGGATAGGCAGCAGGTCTAGGTGGGTGACATCAAAGGCTTGAATGAGCAAAGACAAGGTATGGAGTATTAGCAGAGTTACTGCTGCAGAAGAATCAAAAGTGTAGTTGATTGTTTCACAGGTTAATGATTTAGGACTAAGGGTAAACGTGCTACATGTCCAAGCTTACAGGAAAGCTGCAGTTTGTTCTTTCATCTCAGCACTAACAAGGAGCTGTCAAGGCACTGTCTGCACCAACCATGACTTCTGGCCCTCTATCATCTGTAGTTGGATGGCCCCATGTAGAACCTGTCCTCCTTGGAAGTTTTTAGGCACAGTTCTGTGGCAGAAGCTCTATAATCCCCCATTACACAGACTGTTCCCAGCAACAGAATGGCCACTTTTATTGTCAGCAAGCACTTTCAGGATCACTTGGTTGGCAGCAGCTACTGTGTCACAGGAATGAATGGGTTTTAGGCAACCACTGACTGCAACAGAAGAAGCAAGCAGTCAGCAGCTCTGCCCAAGATGGGCCTGAAATCCAGGTAGCTCATTGTGAGCTGCCAACACAACTGCAAGGTTCACAGGATACTCTGGTCAGACCAGGCAGAAGCTGCTCCTCCTGAAAACCTTTGCACAGCACTGCTGGGCTGGAAAGCTCTTTGTGTAAAGTCCTGGGACAAGGATATCCACAGCTATCCCACAGCTGGCAGGGGATGGGTATGCCAGAACACACAGAGGGCCCAGTGCCATCAGCAGCTTTCACTAAGCATGACAGCTGCTGGGCCAGCTTGTGCTCAGTTGAGTGCTTCCCACTGCTGATGGGCTTTTCCTCAGCTGCCTTCAGAGTCCTCTGCTTCACAGGGTGCATGGCAAGGCAGCTGTGGCACAGTGAAAGGTGCCAAACCCATGTGCCAAACAGCAGAGTTTTTTGTGATCTTCAGAGACATAGTGCAGGGGCGGACTCAGACTCTTCTTGGTGGTGGTAGTAGAGAAGGTATTTCTGAGTCTTGTGATCCATGGCTCCAAGGAGACAACGGCCAAATGGAGTGAAACGTGCTTCCCCCTGCAGGCAGAACTTCCTCACTGTGCCTATATCCCAAAAGCAGTGTTACTGATCGCTCACATGTGAAATGCCTTGAAAGCATGGGACAAGTGGAACAGCATGGGTAGGCCTGTGGAATCACTTGGTGAGCTACATGAACCAGCAAGTTTAACACCTTTTCCTCCCCTCGGCAGCAGGACAGTCTGTGCTCCATCAATCAGACTACCCCTGGGCCCCCCGATGCCAGCAGAAACCAACAGTTCCTTATCCAGGTCACTCCAAGCGTGCTGCCACTTCAGCCATCACCTTACTTGGCCTTTTACAAAGCATGGCTCTTGGAGGGCAGATCTGGACTCCCCTGGCTGTAGGAACTTGCTGCTTGTGGCAGGGCAGCTCTGCTTTGTTGTCAAAGCAGCACGGACATCCAGGACTTCCCTTGTCTTGCAATTAGCCTGCTGCTGTCAGAAGAGGAACCAGGAACAGTCTGGAGATGGAGGATGAGGTCTTGGCTTCCTCTCCTTAGCACATCCTAGTCAGGGTCTTACAACTCACAAAATCCTAAGGAGGGTAGCAAAGCCCTGAGCCTGCAATTCACATATTTGTTGAAGCTTGATGCACCAGAGCGAGTCCCAGTTTAAGCTGCAGGAATTTTAACTAGATCACACAGATTACCTAGAAGATCATGGCCTATGAAAGACCAAGCAGAATGAGACTGTGCAAGTGTCCGAGGGCCAAGCGATGTTACTGTCACTACGAGTGCCTTCCGTCCTGAGGGATCCCAAAGCACTTTGCAATCTTCCATAAGCAACTGGCTCAAGTTAATGATATGAAATGGGGCAACATGCAGTGAAAATCTCCTCTCCAGCTAGAACTCCACAGATGCACAATGGAGTTATCCAGGACACGGGGTTGGCAACTCCCCAAAGCTGCAGCGATCTTTGGTAAGTAGTAGGACTCCAATCTAACATCGCCAGACAGAGTGCCTCCAGCAGCTCAGCACTCCCTCAAGATCGATCTGGGTTCAGCTCTGGCTGAGGAGAGCCCACCTACAGCATCACCAGCACCACTTCCTGCAGCACCCTTGAATGTTTTCCATCCAAGGACTGACCCGGCCCAATCCTGATTAGCTTATGAGATCTGAGAAGGTCACAGCTCGAAGGTGGTGTGGGGCTGCAGGTGGATTATCAAGCCAAACCACGTTTTTCCCTAACCCTGTAAATCGAGCTCTCCGCTGGCAACATGAGGATGTTAAATCCCCGAGTATCCTCGCTAAGAATGTGAGCTACAGGCAGCACGCTGGCACCGGCTCCTCCCGTCTGGGCCCTGTGTGTCATAGAACCATAGATGTTAGAGATGGAGAAGCCCCATTAGGTCCCACTCCGTCCTTTCTCCCCCAGGGGCCAGTGCAGGATTGTTTCCTAGCGTCTCATCCAGTCCCAGACAGGTAGCTTCCACCCCTTGCTGTTCAGTCTTCCCTGTGTCTCCTGGACTGAGCTATGCAGGTCCCCTCCCTCCCTCCTACTCACTGTTCACAGCAGTCTCTCGGGCCCCTTCTGCGTGTCCAGGTTGGGCTGGTTCTGTTGATTGTAAAATCGCAGCAGACACTGCTGGTTGCAGAAGTGTTTGATTTGCCCCCGCCAGTGGATGGTTTCCAGCAGCTTCCCCTGACGCTTGCAGGCATGGCACCGAGCTGCCTAAAGCCCGCATCAGCAGGAGAGAAACAACGAGTAACTAACCACACCCACTCCGAGTGCAACACAACTCTCCAGTGAAAGGTGCACATAGCAAGGTCCTGTGAGCTTCCCCACAGCAGTGCCCTGCCAGTGACAGCCAGGGACTCCAGCGGTGCGAACTTCTCACAGCAGCACTAGCCGCGGATCCAGCACTGTGAGCTTCCTCAGTGCAGTGCTCTGGCAGGATCAGCTGGGGACTCCAGCTACGTGAGCTTCCCCGTAGCAGTGTCCCATCATTGCCAGGCAGGACTCCAGCAGTGCCAAGTTCTCCGCAGCAGTGCCAGCCAGACTCCAGCAGTGTGAACTTCCTCAGTGCAATGCCCACTTATCTGGGTGCCGTGCCCACCACAGCACTTAGCACAAGCTGCCAGTGCCAATACTGACCTTGAAGTACCAGAGCAAGTATTTGCTTTTGCAGTCTTCACTACAGAAGTCCCAGGTGCTGCCCTCCAGCTGCTCGGTGACCGCCCGCTGGCAGGTCTGAGAACAGTAGGTGCAGGTGATGCAGCACAGGCCCAGGTTCTTGGTGAAATCCTGTTTGTAAAGAAGCACACACCCTGCGGAGAAACAATAGGAGTGAAACCTTCCCAGGACGAACTGGGGGCCTCCCTGACCCAAACACGACCAGAACCCAGGTCTGCGGAGACAACGGAGCACACGCAACACACTGTAGGGAACAATCCAGCACTGGCCCCTGGGGCTGGGATAAGATGGGACCTCATGGGGACTTGCCATCTCTCACCTCTATGCTTCTAGGAAGAGTGTGACTCCAACCTCCTGTGTGCAGGAACCCAGCAGGCAGGGCAAGGCCAGGTCAGGCCAGCCCAGACGCAAGAGCGTAGAAGTGCATGATGACAGGAGGAGCGGAGCTGCCACCTGCTGTCTCCCCAGCCCCCAGAGAGAGAAAAGCTGTGAGAAAGCCCTCCCCAAGGACACAATGAACGGTAAAGATCTTGCCCTAGGGCCTGGCTGGACAGCAAGCCAACCCCACAACAGTCCTCCCTTCACTGCATGGCAAGGCTCTTGCCCCAGGGCCTGGCTAAGACAATCTCCCCTCTGTTTCTCTCCATGCTTTCTTCTCCTCCCCCAGCATGGGCTGGCATGGGGGCTCTGCCTCTCCTGTGTCTTCCCCAAGTACCTTCGCTGCAGAAGTTCTTCTCCACTCCCGAGAACCGGATCTTCTCATGCAGCAGCTTCTCCTGCTTGCAGTGCTCACACTGAGACACCACCCCGCGCAGCCGCTTGAAGTCCTCGCAGCAGTCCTTGCAGCAGAACTGATACACCTTGTCCTGCCAAAGAGACCATCACCATGTCAGCCAGGCTGGCAGGAGGTTCCCACACTTCCCAGGGAAGCAAGAACAAACTATGGGGCTGAGCCAAGTCTCCAGCTCTCCTGACATGGGGTTTGGCAGAAGTGTTCTCCTCCTGTCC